ACCTTTCAGCCAGCCCCACGAGGCCCCCTGGCACTCAAGGACGCCCTCCGGCGGGAAGGAGCACAAGAAGATGCTTTCAGAGCCGATTTTCATCACCACCTCAGAGAAATGAGGGGCCTTCCGTCTCCGAGGATGCGGGAAGGCTACGGAGAAGGAACGTGCTGGAGAATTCAGTGTATGGAGGCAGAAATAAAAGCCTGAGCAGGAAAATTAGGACACGGAGTTGAGGACATCTCCCAGAAATCAGAGCCAACGCCAGGCCAGAGGGGAGAACGGGAAACCTGGGGCGCCAGCTCAAAGGCCCAGTGCCGTGCTGACGGGACGTCCGGAAGGAAGACGGTAGGGGAGACAATCACGTGAGATTTCCCAAGCCAGTGACTGAGTTTCCAGTTAGAAAAGCTCCCGACCACGTGGTGTGGTGGGCGAACAAATACACCAGGTGCATCACCACCAGGGTACAGGGCACAGGGCTCAGGGCACAGGACACAGGGCTCAGGGTGCAGGGTGAAGGCTCAGGGTGCAGGGTGAACCCCGCAGGGCTCAGGGCACAGGGTGCAGGGTTCAGGGTGCAAGGCTCAGGGCTTAGGGCGCAGGACACAGGGCACAGGGCTTAGAGCTCAGGGCACAGGGCTCAGGGTGCAGGGCGAACCCTGCAGGGCTGAGGGAGCAGGGTGGAGGGTTCAGGGCATGGGGCCCAGGGCTCAGGGCTCAGGGCACAGGGCATAGGGCAAAGGGCGCAGGGCATAGGGCTCAGGGTGCAGGGCTCAGGGCTCAGGGCACAGGGTGAACCTTGCAGCTTCAGGGGGCAGCAGGGAGTGAAACGGGGCCACGGGAAGATCAGGAAACAGAATGTTTTCCAACTTCCTCAGGCAACGCTGGAAGTTAAAAGACAATGCAGAAATACCTTCAAATTCCCAATGGAAGGTTTTTCCAACCTGTAATTCCCTTCCCAGTTAGAGCATCGAGTGTGAGGGTAGAATAAAACTTTCATACACACAGGGTCTTACAACATTGATCTCCACCCTCTCTGTTTCCAGGAAGCTATTGGAGAATGTGTTCCTCCGAAATAAGAAAGTACGTTGATCAAGAAAGAGGAAGGGGGCGCCTGGGTGGCTCAGTCGGTTAAGTGTCTGACTTCAGCTCAGGTCATGATCTCGCAGTTTGTGAGTTCGGGCCCTGCGTCGGGCTGTGTGCTGACAGCTCAGAGCCTGGAGCCTGCTTCGGATTCTGTGTCTTCCTCTCTCTCTGCCCCTCCCTCTCTCTCTGCCCCTCCCCTCCACTCATGCTCTGTCTCTCTCTCTCTCTCTCTCTCTCTCTCTCTCTCAAAAATAAATAAACATAAATAAAATTTTGGCTTCTTTTTTTTCCAAAAAAAGAAAAGAGGAAGATGTGGGAGGAATCTAGCCCAGGAGAGAGGAGGGGCTCCCAGGATGACGGCAGAGGAGGGTGGGGCTGGCAGCAGGGGCAGCCGGCAGGCAGAGGTCTCCAGAAGGGGTGTCTCAGAAACCAGGTCAATGGGTGGACTGATCGTTCATTGTTCACCGTGCTCACAGCAGAGGCGCATTTTACTGGAAATCCCGGGGTGAATTAGGAATAGGCACTTAGAAAGTTAATTCCGGGAAAACAAAAGTACGTATAACAAAGGTAATAGAACCAGGGGTCACTGTGGGTCTTTTGTGAGTAACGCTAACACAGAAACAGTCATGCAAACGGTGATTCACTTAAGCCAAGGTAAAGCTCCAAGTGTCCCACGGGACCCTCTCTTATCCCCAAATTACCCCCAGGAGGATGGCCCCATGCTCCCCCCTCCCAACTGTGCTGAGTTGGCTGTGGCAGGGCCCTCCAGGGGTCCGGAGGTCCCGTGGTCGCCGCCCACCCCTTCTCCAGGGCCCCAGCAAGCCCCTGCTGTGGTCACCACCCCCGGCTCTCCCCTGACACTGCCCACGCCATTGTGAATTGGCCCACAACAGGAGCTGGCCAGGACAATCGAGGCAGAGGCGGGAGCACAGTGGAAACTGAGGTTTCAAGGAGTACACGTTTAAGCATGTTTTTGAGAAGCTGGCACAGACTCCAGAAGAATCGGCTAGAAGCACTGCCCGTAGCTGCCTCCGGGGCATCCACGCTAGGGGTGAGGGACCCACAGGGACCCGCAAGGGACCTGCTAGTTTTATTACAGGTCCTGAGCTAAGGAGATGGGGCCACTGGCCTGTGCACAGTGAATCCCATGGAGGTGTACAGGGTCTACCTGGAACTGGGCATCGGGTACTGACTGCCCTGCCCCTCCTTCCTTGAGCAGCCTGGGCACTGGCTTCGTTCCTCTCTGGGGCAGAAGAGGAGCCGAGGGGCCATCCTGTCACGTGAGGAACCCCC